AAACACCATAAAAAAAAACCTATTGATGTTGGCATGAAATGGAAAATGTCATCGTCTTTTCTTACCTATTGTGACATATGGATTCTCTAATGAGAAAAAAATTAGGACGAGACTTGATTTTATCCATCAGGAATTGATTGGATCATTGGATTTTTGTCATTTGTTTATTGTGAGTGGCAAGTTGCTGGATGGGAGGGATTATTGTTTCTCCTTCAGATGCACACGTCATCAGAGAAGAAAGGGAAGGGAAGTTATTGTTTTTGATGAAAGGTAATGAGGGCTCATGAATTTAAAAAGAATGATGATGTGCATGAATAAATCATGTATGTTCCATTTTAAAAAATCCATTTGGTGTTATGGTGATGTTAAAAGAGTCTATACAATTTGTGAGCTGTATTCTCAGTGTCCTGTATAGACAGTATTTCTAAAGCCAGTTATTATTATTACCACATCCAATTACCAAGCACAATAATGCAGCAAAATAAAATACCCGCCAATAATATATGAAAACACAAATTCATAACTTAAAAATACATAATAAAATGTCTATAATAAAATAAGTAAATAAAAAATTAAAGGGGGTGCTCAGCTTAACTTTGTATAGAGCCAGCTAGTAGGCTATATTATAAAAAAGGAGAATACTATACCTTGTCAAAGATCTTTAAGGAGCCTGTGAATGCGAAAATCTTGAGCTTTATACAAGTAAACACCTCTTTAATTCACTGATAAAAGGTGGGGGTGAAATGTGTTTCCACTTTAAAGTAATGAGACGTGCAGCTAATAAAGTTGTAAGGCCCGAGCCTTTTGCAGTGACATCAGAATGACCTTGTTATCTTTAATCAAATGCAACTCACTTCTCTCTGCTGACGTATTTAAGGTTGCAGTAATGCCAATCACATTCAGATCTTTCTAAATACAACAACATTCCTGTATGCAACACTCACTTTTCACAATCCAATTAACAACCAAATTCACGCGGCTCAAACTGTAGGCAAAGTCCAGGTGGATGCTGCACACTGGTGGTGGTTGAGGAGAATTGATAAAATAAAACCAACATCGTTTTTTCTTGTTCGATAAGCCGTTGCATTTAGAAACATGTTATAGTTCAGAAGTTCAGTTGGTTGCAGTTTCATTTCATTTGCCAACTTGCATGTCATGAAATGAAATTTAACCCAAAGAATTGGAATTGACAGAGAATGTGTTTGAGTATCATTTTGTGACTGATCCCAGTTTTATTCCTCCATCTTAGAAACGGCTGCTCAGTATGAGGCTAGAATATCTGTTCTGCAGTCAGAACGATCACATTATAGGAGAGCCACTTCGCCCCAGGACACTAAGGTTTGTGTGTCCCCCCCTTCTTTGTTATCCAAGTACTGAGGCCAAGACTGATTTTTTTGGCACATTATGTGTCTGTTTCACTTTTTGAAACATCTTTCAGTTTCTGTGTTAAAATGCCCGTAAGTCACTTCTGCATTTTACACATTTCATTGTGCATGCAGGGCATCTCTAAAAAGGGCAAGGTGGAGGGTACCTCTCCTCCACAGGGTGGTTTCCCTCCCCTGCGAGCTGCTGACCATGAGGGCTCAGGGTCAGACTCTGATCCACTGGAGCTGTTGGCGGGGACGTCAGATACAGAGACAACAGGCCTTATGATGGACTACTTTCCCCAGCACTGTGACTCGGCCTCTCTGTCTTCTTTCTCTATGGACACACCCTCTTTACCCCGACATACGCCTCCTCAAGATGACACCGCCTCCCTGGTGTCCACAGGAACGCTGGTGCCTGAAGCCATCTACCTGCCACCACCGGGACACAGACTGGTCACACATGCAGACTGGGACAAATTGCAAGCACAAGTCAGTATACGCCTAGTTTTTCTAGCAGGTTTCCCACGACCATTGAAAACTGTAATGTAACTGTATTTTAAGATTGTGGTTGCCAGGCCTGGAAAAGTCATGAAAATTAAAAAACACTAAAAAGTTAAGTTTTTCTAGTTACGCTTGGCTCTAGAATACTTAACAGCTAGAAATTACTATTCATGAGTCAGTGCGTGATGTCACCATCCCTCAACTAACTGAATATCTAACTTGAATCTGATATCATGGCATTTTTAGCTTGTAGAGCTTCAAGAGGAGGTGACAGAGCTTCAAAAGCAGAAAGCTGAGCTGGAGAAAGAACTGGATGTGCAAAGCACAGAGACACAAAAACAGGTACAGAAACTCTCAGTTCCTGTCTTTCGCCACACAGACCAAATAAAAACAGCCAGAATTACTTGCATTGCTTAATATTTTTGTGTAAACAGTCATACATTGATACATTATTTCATGAGTAGCGAGTTCAAAAGATCCCCGTTTATTTGAAATAGATTTTTTTTGTAACACAATAAATGTCTTCTGTACTGTCACTTTTAATCAATTTAATGCATCCTTGCTGAATAAAATTATGTATAAAAATCTTAATGACCCCAAACCTTTGAGTGGAAGTATGTAATGTAATGTAATGTAATATAATTGAATATAATATATATTTTTTCAATGTGGTTTAATTGCTTTGAGCATACACCCTGATATAGCAAATCTACAGATAATTACTTTCCAAAGCAAAGTTATATATTGATATCTTGATGTGTTTTTGTCTATTGCAGTTGTCGGTGCTTCAGTCTCAGGTGCAAACTTCTGAGACTCTTCTTCAAGACCTACAGAAGTCATTTAGCCAGTCACAAAATGCTGTTCAGAGCAGATTGGTGAGTAGCAGCTGAATGGTGCAATCAAAGGGCAGCAGGAATCCATGATCCAACATCTTGATGAGATCACAAACTAATGAGTCCGTGTGTACTTTTTGTCATGCAGGCGGAGCTGTCTTACTCTCAGAAGAGAGTTTGTAATGAACTGTCCAAGTTGAAAGGTGAAGACACTGATGTGGATGAAAATAGCCTTCCACCCCGCAGTCCAACACTAGAGGTATGTGAATGAGTGTGTGTTTAAAAGCGGATTTGACAAAACGTGGTCAGAGGTGTGTATGTGTATTTGTCTTAATAAGTGATTAAGTCAGTGTGTATCTCTGCATAAGGCAGCTCACTGTGAGGAGAGGCTTCGTATTGAAATAGTCAACCTACAGGAACAGCTGGAGACACGCACAGAAGAAAGCGGTCTGTCAATATCATTAGATTACATTACATTAATGCATTTGGCATATGCTTGTTTTTGCTTTCCCTCACTGTTCATAAAACATTTGAATAAAATGTTTCAGAATAAATAATTTGAATCATCGTCTGCCATTTGTCCTGTTTGTTGAAGCTTTAGATTGTTTTCTCTTCAATGACGTTCTCCTTTTTGTCTTTTCTCCTGATCTTTCTTGTTACATCTGCTCCTCCAGAAATTTTAGAAGGTAAGTCATGCATACTTTCACTTTTTGTCAATAGTGTAGATCCTAGTTGTTGTATGAGGATAGGTTTTGATATTTTAGTGTATTACCATGAAACTGTGTGTCCAGTGTAAGTTTGTGATTGAAATCTCTCTCCCTCAGTTAAGCTTGCCAGCCTGACAGTAGAGACAGACCGCATACAGATCCAAAAGGAAAAGGTATGGCAGCCTTTAATTCTCAGGAGTTATTTCTTGTGCGTTTGTGTGTGTTTTTTATGCATCTCTGCTTGACTCATTTAATCTGACTACCAATAATTCAGACATTTTTTTACACAATATTACAAAATGGAAAAATTATTTATCCCTTTATAATTGGATGCACTCTCACAAAATTAAACATGCACATAATGAAATCATGTGACAACAGTGTAGTGTTGTTTGAAAAGTTTGTTGTATAATGCTGTTGTATAATGTGTTCAACATTGTTCAGTGTGTACAATGCAGTATGCTAGTATCCATTGTCCCATCTGTTTGTGCAGTTGGAGGCTGAGCTGCAGGAGTGTCGTGTAGAGGTGCAGGGTCTGCGATTGGCACTTTCTCACCTTCAGAAGGAGAACAAATCTCACATCCAGGAGAAGGTATGCCTGCATCTTGGTGTGAATAGGTGAATATCACTGAATTGTATTATATAGTAGTTTACATCTCTCTATGTCTGTCTTTCAGGCAGTGTTGCAGCAGCAGTGTTTAGAGTATCGCAGTCAGGTGATCAGTCTGCGCTCTCAACTAGACACTAGTCAAGCTGTGCAGAAGGATTTTGTGCAGCTGTCGCAGTCACTGCAGGTACTTCACTGATTTAGGATTAGCATTGAGTTCAGCATTGTGGCATAAACTTCAAGCTTAGTTTTTTTTTAATAATTTCTTCTCTCTGCATTCTCAGGTAAAACTGGAGCAGATTCGCCAGGCAGAATCTTTGAACCAAGTGAAGCACATTCTAGGGGAGGAGATTGAAGACACTGATTTGCCTGCAGATGCCACATGAAACAATATAAGAATAGGTGACATTTTGGCCAACCAAAGGGAAGAGACTCTAATGGACAAGGAGGTGGTCCTCAAAAAGGGCCAAGCTGAGGTGGGCTGCCTACATGAAAAAGAAACCTACAGTGACATGAAGAACTAAACGGCCATTCCTGCACTCATGGGTTCACAATTCAAACCATATGGGGAAACACGGTTCCTTATCAATCTGGACAAACTGGAATTGCTAATACTTGAGTTTTGGGAAAAGCTAATACACTGACTACTAGCTGACTAGACTTAATGCTACTGCAGTGTAAGTTTTATCTTCCTGGCCTAATCCTTCTTTCCTAATAGATACTGATGGAGATATATTACTCATTTTCAGCACCTGTCACCAGCAAAATAAAAACCAAAAAACATACTGGGGCCAATTGGAACTTTTAGAATATGTATTTTTTCTCAGACTACTACAGGCCTACCCGTTATTGCTATAAGAAAAAAATCTATGTGCCAAAGTAACAGTATCATTAATAAATATATAATGAGAAGGACTATCATAATATTTAATAATATTCCACATAATATCTGAATATTTTTCGCCTTTATGTGGTACTAATTCTGTTAGCTGTCTTAATGTCTTAATACATTAAATACATAATATTTTTTTTAAATGAGATGCAACCTATTTTAATAAGCGAAGTGTAATTAGCTGTTGACTAAATGCTAGTTTTACAATATATTATTGTTTTAAAGATTAAATCTTTCAATTCATACCATTTGTATTCATAAGTAGCGTTACAATTGCCCCCAGTTTCACAGCCATGATGAAATCTTTTATGATATCCACCAGCAACAGTGTTAGCATACTCCTTTTATGTTAACTTAAAGCCAAAAACCAAGAGATCAAATAAATATTACTTTAAATTAAATGCATTAGAAAATATTACCCCCTAAAATATTTTTGTACCTCAAATGGTTTTTGTTGAAACTTTATTTCAAAGTGAAATATTCATACTTACTGTTCTCAGACAGATAGAGAACTTATGCTGAAAAGACAGTTGCCCCCTGCTATAATACTACCTACCCTACTATAATTATTTTTGCATTCAATTTAAGGCCAAAGTCCCTTTACTGGAAAGAGCCATCATTTCATTATGAAGCATCTGGTGCCTGAGCCAATGAACAGTGGAAGATCAATGGTATGTTAAAAAGTTGATAAAACACTAAATCTGTTTGAATGGGGCTAATAAATGTTAATTCATATATATGTAGCACAATGTTAGTAACAAATCTTGAGTGCATTACATATGTATGAAAAATAAAGGTTAAACTAAAAGACAGTAACAGATCACGCATGTTTTTTATACACATCTTTATTTTAAGAATAGCGTTTTCATTAGAATATACCGTTCATAACAATATATATATTAAATTAAGTCTTAATACATATACATAACACATTTAACTTAAATATTTTTTTCCTTTGTTCTATAAGGTTTTAGATTTTATGGATGATAAATCCATGATGGATTCACTGGTTCACAGTGGTTTTCGTTTTCACTCCTGGCAAACTTCATTTTTCTGCTTTGGAGTGCTGTTTTGCTAATTTCTTCTTCGCTTTTTCAGTCCCACTTTTTGGACACTAGATTCTCATCTTTCTCTGTTCAAGAAAATAAGTTATGTGAGACAGGATGATTTAAAGATAGTCCACAACACTATTGTGAATTTCAAATAATCTAGGCACACATTGCTTTGAAGCACATAATCATAAAGGTATAGTCTTAACAGTCATAATTACATTTTTAAATATGGAAATATTCTTTAAACTACCTTTTAATTGAACATAATCAAAACCACATATATAAGGAAGAGTTTAGCATTAACCCTGCATTTTCCCTGCTGATAATGATATTAAGATTCTACAGTGGCATCTATTGCTATATGGAGCATTACTGTACAGTCATTCACTGATTCAGAAGTCATGAGGTCTGAGGAGCTCCATGACTGACACTAGAATATATACATCTCAATCATTAAGCCAAAGAATGTAGCACAATTTGTCCATACACAAACAGACACAGGGATACAGGCAGGCAGGCACGGACAGAGAGGATTGTGGGATACCTTGCTTTGTTACAGGAATATGGAGGGGGACAGGATTAGGCTGGAATGAAATAAAAAGGGGTTGAGCAGGGTATTGAGTGAGGAGGAAAAGGGTAAAGAGGAGGAATATTTACACCACCAGAAGAAATGTAGTGCAGAGAGGAGGGTTCAGAAAAGAGGGCAAGAGATAAGTAAAGGAGAATACAATTTTAAAAGGGAAATGAATTGGTCATAACAGGAATTTATATTTGCTTGTTATACAGTTAGTCAGGACTTTATTACATGCAGTAAGTGGTTGAATTGGTTTTAATCAGTATTTAGTTATGTATTTGTATGTTACTTTAAATATGCTTAGTATGTTTATTTTAAATATCTATCCATTTCTTTTATTAACATAAAAATGTATGAATCATTTGTAAATCTTAAAAAAAAAAACATATAAAAATATTTTAATTAAATTTGTGATGTGTTTGTGTTTTTTAAAAGGTTACTTACGCTCCAAGTAGTTACGGGCAACAAACTTAAGCAGCTCGTCAATAAGGATGACAGGGAAGGAAAGCTTCAGAACAACGATCCACTGGTCCAAGCCGAGATGGGTTAGCTTGAAGATCATCTGTTAGAGGAAAAGGCAGAGATTAGCAAATGATAGATTATAACAGTTGGATTAAAACAGAATGATGGGATAATTTAATTAAATGAATTGAAGTGAATTAATTAAAGAATTAAAATATTGCCATATAATGGATTTGCAGTTGAATCAGTGTTTGGGACATGACTTTGACTGCATTCCAGTTTTTTTTTTTATGCCCTTCCGTCGATAACTTCCCTCCGTGTCATTGACATGGATGTACATCATTGATTACGTTGCATAAGTGCCCACTACTGGCGGAACCATTGCAATGGGTTGAAGTGGAACAACAAAGCCCTTAATCAGTCGAAATCTGCTATGGAGCTGATTTATTACTTACATTTTTCCCTTAAGAATTAGTTTGATGCAGCATTATATATGTATATAGGTATGCTTGGGCTATTTTAAATATAAAAAAATATATATTTTCATTTATATATCATAGAGTTGTTTGGGGTGGGGATAAATTAAACATAATCTGTGGTGATGTCACAATCGTGTTGCATTGTGGTCTATGGAGCAACCTGAAGTGTAATTATGAAGTAGACTTGCTCCCTCTGACAAAATCGAGGGGTCGAAGGCCTGTCCATATAAACGTCCCTCATCCACTTCACCAAGTGGAACACACTTCAAAATGGCAGCGGGGATTCCCCCGAGGGAAAGTGCTTAGGGAAGTTTGCGAGTGTATGTCTAAAAGCGAACGCAGCCTTGGACATGAGAAGTGTCTCTTGGCTGGGCCTGGTCATGGTCTCCTAAGGCTCCTGGGCACACGTCTTTCATCACCCCCTAGTGGCAGCCCCTTTAGCCTGCATAGCAATATTGCTAAACACATGAACTGAACCGAATTCAGCATGCTGGATGGACGCCGTACTTACGGGCAGAGGGTCCACATAGATGATCATGAAGTGAAGAGACATAGAGAGACTCATGGCTCCCACCAACCACACATTGCTCCACGGAGGCATACGCAGCAGAGACTGATTCTCAGATAAGCTGCAAAACCATGCGCCAATGTATGTTAAAATCAGCATAAAAAACATTTATGATCAGCTGCTTTATGATTGTTGGATTTGGTAAGTACTGACCTGTTCAGAGCGTTGCACATCTCAATGGTGACCAGGACAGACAGAGCCATTGTCATGGGAGGAGCAGCCTCGAACACCTCACATTCAATGCCAGCAAAGTCCTCATTCTCAGCAGTGCACTGCATGAAGTGGGACTGGAGACAGAGAATAGGTTTAGCATTATTACTTTGTGAAAAGTACCACATTGTTACTGTCATTTATAGTTATCAATTGTTTCATTCTCAACATTCAGGGACATCAGCCATCAATTATTGCATCCCTGTAGCATTAGATTCTCACCAGCTGGTAGAAAGAGACCATGGGGCCATCTTCGCAGTAAAGGAACCACCAGCCAGCAGCAGCGACAGTTGCAGCACCAACATAACCTGAGAGAGAGATTAAACAGAATCTGTAATGCAGTCTTGAGGTAATCAGGGAAGGTACAATATCACTGAATACATGGTGAACCTCGAATAGATCAGGGATTAAGCAGAAATATGGAAAGCAGCACACCTCCAATGGCCAGGTATCTGAAGAAGAGCCAGCCAGAGATGAGGGGCTCTTTGGGGGAGCGGGGAGCCTTGCCCATGATGTCCAAATCGGGGGGGTTGAATCCCAGAGCAGTGGCAGGAAGACCGTCAGTCACCAGGTTCACCCACAGAAGCTGAACTGGGATCAGAGCCTCAGGAAGACCAAGAGCAGCAGTCAGGAAGATACTGAAGAAGATGGAGAAAATAAATCCGGTTTAGAGTCAGCCTATTCCTGATTCCAGAGGGTAAATGTATAAGAGAGAGACTGTCACTCACCACACGACCTCTCCGACGTTGGAGGAGATGAGGTAGCGGATGAACTGCTTCATGTTGTTGTAAATGGCTCTGCCCTCCTCAACGGCAGCCACGATGCTGGAGAAGTTGTCATCGGCCAGGACCATCTCAGAGGCTGACTTGGCAACAGCAGTGCCAGAGCCCATGGCAATGCCAATCTCTGCCTTCTTCAGGGCAGGAGCATCATTCACACCATCACCAGTCTGGAGAGTGTGTAGAGGAGGTAGGGAGTAGCAAAAAACGCAAGCATATTAAATGTATTTCTTAAATATATTTGGGCTTTTGTAACATTTTCTGTAATTTGCTCCATTCAGTTCCTTTACCATGGCAGTGATCTCATCAAAACCCTGAAGGAACTCAACGATCTTGCTCTTGTGGGAGGGCTCAACACGAGCGTAACAGCAGGCCTTACGCACAGCCTCTCTCTGCTGGGCCAGTGGCAGGTCATCAAACTCACGGCCAGTGAGAGCACGGCCTGTCACATCCTCATCATCACTGAAGATGCCAATACGGCGGCAGATAGCCACAGCGGTACCTTTGTTATCACCTGGGAAGAAGAAATTATATTTTCAGCATTATTGCATTGGATTACCTATTATGCATTTTTGTCAGATGTTCTGTCAGCACTTATTTGAGGATCGAACTTGATTCACCTGTGATCATGATCACACGGATACCAGCAGCCCTGCACAGCTCAATGGATCCAACAACCTCTTTACGAGGAGGATCCAGCATACCAACGCAACCCACGAAGGTGAGATCAGTCTGTGAGGAAAGCAAAAAACGAAGGGTTAGCTTTATCAAAATTCAGTTATCATGCTAGTTGGAATTCAAATGATGTTTTTGTCTTTCACACAAATCACACACCTCATATTCAGCAAACTTGGTGGAGTCCTCCAGGTTCATCTCCTCCTTTCTCAGAGGGTTGTCACGGGTTGCCAGTGCCAGGCAGCGCAGGGTATCACGGCCAGTTCCCCATTCCTTGATCACAGCCATGATCTTATCCTTAACTGGACCAGTCAAGGGCACACGGATGGTTCCAACACGCACATAGTTACATCTGTCAATCACACCCTCAGGAGCACCCTACAACAATAATGATTTTGTGATTTAGATTCTCTTTAAGGTATTTAATTTTACTAGGTCTTTTTAAGGATTTGTCTTACCTTGACAAACATCTTGTTTCCAACAGGGGCCTTGGAGGCCTTTGCAGGGGAGCAATAGACGGACATGGACTTCCTGTCACGGGAGAACTCAAGAGTAAATTCCTTCTTCATAAGCTGCTTGACCACCTAGAAAAACCAAGGAATTAAATAATAATTCTATCTTGGAATATGAACTTGACAGTTGAACTATTACAAAATATCTGACCATAATTGTGTAGAAGCACCACTATCATGGATATCCTATTGATATTTCAGTCATAAATTAGGGCTAATACAGCTGAGGGACACAGTACAGCGGACCAACATGAACTTAAAGAGCTCCGAAGAGGCTGAGATACTTACAGTGCAGCATGTGTTGGCTCTCTCCACCTTGGACAGACCACGGACATCAGTGTTGAACACGTTCATCTTTTCAACCAGGCAGCACAGGGCGGTCTCTGTAGCTTCACCCACTTTCTCATAGATTCCTTTCGACTGTAAAACGAGAGTGAGAGTTAAGCTCAGTTGTTGCTCCACAAATGGAAGATATTTGATGAAAACAGAATAAATGTTTGCTTACCTCATTGTAGTCCAGAGAGGAGTCATTGCACAAGGCGCAGATGGTTGCCAGCTCAACAAGGCCATCATACTGACCACACTTGACAGGAAGTCCACCCTTAGTACTGTAAGGTAAAGTAAGGAGAACGGTGAGTCTCTCTGTGTGCGTGTGTTTGCATCACTTAATGAATATAAAATTACTTACACTTCTCCCTCTGGCGTGTACTTGGATCCAGAAATGTCATACTGGTCAAGAGTCACAGAGTCTCCGTCCACCTTCTCAATGACGAACATCTAAATACCAAGAGAACAAAGCTTAAAACAGTGTGCAAAACAGAATGGTTTCGTGGTTTTAGTGAGAGGACTGGTGTATTGGTGCTTGCTTAATTTCTTTTGGAGCAAGACAATGTCTCTCACAAACCTTTGTAACACACATCTGATTGGTGGTGAGGGTGCCGGTCTTGTCTGAGCAAATGACGGATGTGCAGCCCAGAGTCTCTACAGAGGGAAGAGAACGGACGATGGCGTTCTTCTTAGCCATACGGCGGGTTCCCAAAGCCAAGCAGGTAGTGATGACAGCAGGCAGACCTATTTGGAAAATAACAGATGTGTCAAATACACACTGTTGGATTTACTCAATTTATAAAGTCATGAGTCATGAATCTTCTTGATTTCACACTGCTATACCCTGATTTGTATCATGACTCCTGTAATCTCACCTTCAGGGATGGCAGCTACAGCAAGAGCCACAGCGATCTTGAAGTAGTAGACAGCACCACGGATCCAGGAGCCACCGTGGACGGGGTCGTTAAAGTGGCCAATGTTGATGAGCCAGACAGCCACACAGATGAGGGAAATGACTTTGGAGAGCTGCTCACTGAACTCATCCAGCTTCTGCTGCAAGGGGGTCTTCTCTTGCTCAGTGGCAGCCATCTGGTCACGGATTTTACCGATCTCAGTGGAGACGGCGGTGGCAACCACAACTCCGATAGCCTTGCCAGAAGCGATGTTAGTGCCCTAGGAAAGCGAGAGAATGTTTTAGTGCTAGTGCTAGAAAAAGAGGAGAGGGACACCAAAAAGCTGACGAAAGGGAAACTCACAGAGAAAAGCATGTTCTTCTTGTCCTGGTTGACAGCCCTGGGGTCAGGAACAGACTCTGTGTGTTTAATCACACTGACGGACTCACCTGAGAATAAAGTGAGAAAAGAGCTGAGAGAAGGATAAAGTTACATGCAATGTTTCTGTGAGTATTGGGAGGCAACTGATCAGATTTTGTAAATCAGAGACGAACCAGTGAGGATAGACTGGTCCACACGCAGAGTTGTGGAGCGGATGGCGGTGATTCGGATATCAGCAGGGACTTTGTCACCAACTACACAGGAAAAAGTTGAGAATTAAGACATATGAAGAACAATTCATATTTAAAACTTAAATATTTATATATTTATACATCGATTAATGGTTTGACAATGATTTGAAATTCTTCTAGTCCAGGGATGTCCAATCCTGCTCCTGGAGGTCCACCTTCTTACTGAGTTTAGCCACAGACTATAGAAATACAAAGACGGTTCATTCCATAGATATGTATGGTTCACTCCTATACTTATGAATGGGAGAAACTGCAACGTGCCATATGGCGGAATAGTCCTGTCTTCTAAGTGAAAGAGCCAATCGCTGATTGGTAAAGTCATTGCGTCACTGCAGCAACCATTAGAAGCTCCGGTTCCCATAGAAACCTGAGGCTAGACCAGCTAAAGCGCATGCGCAGTTATTACCGCATTATGACTGCGCATGCGCATTGGCTGGTCTAACCTGAAAAATAATCTTTTTCAACGTTATTTGAGCATAAGAAACGACATTGATGGGGCAGTTCATTTCAGATTTTGTTGCTGATTTGAAATATGTAATTTAATTGTGAGTTCAGCGAGCAGTTTTTGTGATTTCAGGATTTCAGGAGCCCATTCTTTTAGAAAAAACTTGGTCTTTTATGAGCTGCCCGGAGGCATTGCAAATATGGCCGCCGAATGAGCAGACTTTCCTTGAAAGGGACTTTGGTTTAGCTTCAACCCTACTTAAACCAAAATACAAAAAACATGTTTCCTCATCTCTTTGAATGAGGAAACCTAAAATTCTCCAAAACTGTTCACCAAGCTTGCAATTAAATTTCATATTCAAAATCACCAATGAAATCTGACAACAACTGTCTCATAAATGTTGTTTCTTATGCTCATTTTCCAGGCTATGCTTATGTTTATTTTTCAGGCTAGCACAGCCAATGTGCATGCGCAGTCCTAGCACAACCTAGCAGCATCCAGAGCTTCTAACGGCAGCTGCAGAGACATGATGACTTTACTGATTAGCGATTGGCTCTTTTATTGAGAAGACGGGACTATTCCGCTATATTGCGCATTACACTTTCTCCTATAGGGAAGTAATAGGAGTGCAACTTCTTGGTATATCTGAAGTCTTTGCTTAAACACACCTGAACGAGCTAACCAAGGTCTTCAGGACTATAAAAACATCCAAGCAAATATGTTGGAGCTACTTTGCATGTACAGTGGGTACGGAAAGTATTCAGACCCCCTTCAATTTTTCACTCTTTGTTATATTGCAGCCATTTGCTAAAATTATTTGTTAATTTTTTTTCCTCATTAATGTACACACAGCACCCCATATTGACAGAAAAACACAGAATTGTTGACATTTTTGCAGATTTATTAAAAAAGAAAAACTGAAATATCACATGGTCCTAAGTATTCAGACCCTTTGCTGTGACACTCATATATTTAACTCAGGTGCTGTCCATTTCTTCTGATCATCCTTGAGATGAAGGGGGTCTGAATACTTTCCGTACCCACTGTAAATGGCCCATCAGATTTGGCCTCCTTATCTAGTCTAAAGATAATTCCGCTGTCAATAATGTTTGCTGATATTTTGGTGAAAGATTAGAGATTCAAAAGGGGGACCTGATCAAGGGGAAAATACATAAAAGAGAAGAATGACAAGGACAAGCCGACCTTCAACATGGTGTAAACAAGTGGCCTAGAGAAAATGAGTGATGAGGAAGGAACAGGTGGAAGAGGGAAAGAGAAGGGGCAAGGGATCGAAAGAGGGCAAGTAGAGGAACAGGTGCTGGGATGTATTTATATACAGGCCTTTTCTTTGCTCATGCTCTCGCGGGTTCTTTCAGCCTTTTCTGATCCCATTACTCTATATTCTTCCTCCCACTGTCACACACACCGTAATTGCCTTAAAAGGACGCTCACACTTTCTCAAGGGCATAAGTTGCATATAGTCCTGTCGCCTCCACACACGTCTCATTACTTGACATCATTGTGGTTACACAGTGTAACAGTTGGCTTGAAGGTGTTGGTTACTCTGCATTTCCATTTTCAGACCATTGCACTGTTCCTGTGTGTTAGAGTGTTACGAGATTGTTCTGTGTTGATGCTGTTAGACACTCGTGTCCACTGGTATACCTGACACTTCCACAATGTCTCCAGGAACAATCTCTCTGGCTTTGATCCTCTGTACGCTCTTTCTGTCAGCACGGTAGACTTTACCCATCTCTGGCTCATACTCCTTCAGAGCCTCGATGGCGCTCTCCGCATTGCGCTCCTGTGAAAACAAAGTTCTTGATCAGTTCCTGCTCCCCTTAGGATTTTACACCTTGACGTCTCTCTCCTTCCAAGGGTGTACATACTTTCCAAATGACTGTTGTGCTAGCTGTATGGACCCTTGATGAAACCTGATCAGCTTCTAGTATTTTTGCCACCGGACCTTTGTGAATACTGCTGTGCCTAACCTTTGACCTCTGATGTCATTTACACCACTCTAAGTTCTAATGCTTGCATTCACTGTATATTATGTATAGTGGCCCCCAAAATAGTTTTGGACTTCAGTTACTCTTGAAATGCATTTTTTTATTGTATTAGAGAACTGCAAGATAACTACAAGTGGTATCTTCAAACAAATGATGCTAGAGCTTTTCTTAGTGATACCTTCAGTTTAGCCATTTACAATTTTTTTTTTTTTAATCAACTGGACAAGGTTATTTTACCAGTAGTGGATTTATGAGGTATGTTTCTCTTAATTCACATGTAGTGTAATTGTAAGTGTAGTTAATCCTCACATTACCAGAACATTTCCAAATACTTTTTGACTTCGATTTGAACAATATATCTCCTGTCTTAAGATTTAAAACCTTATAAACATGTTTTTGTCCAATGTTTTGAAAAGTGTTTTTTAAATTTCTTTTTACTTTATGTTAACAACAAGTGCATCTTAGTTGAAAATGTTATCATTTTATTTATTTATTTTATATTATTATTATTTTTTTTGGAGGTTGCCTCTATTATCCAGATACCTGCCAGTGTAGTTTGGGAAGTAAAATGGATGTGCATATTTACCTGCCATACTCCAACGACAGCATTAGCAATAAGGATGAGAAGGATGACAAATGGCTCGACAAAGGCAGTGACAGTTTCCTCGCCTTCCTCAAACCAGGCCAGTACCTGATGAACAGAGAGAGTGTGAGAGAGACATCCAAGATCCATATGGGAGGTAAAAGAAAATGTAATATTTACAATCCATTTCATTAGAGTCTGATTAAAGAGACAGTGGATGTATGTGAAATTGTGTGTGTGTGTGTGTGTGTGTGTGCACTCGTTTGGGTGGTTTATGGGGACACAAATCTGTATAATGACATGGATATGACGAGGTAGGTATTACAATGTGAAGGTGGTTTATGAGGACACCGCCTGTGTCCACATAATTCAAAAGGCTTAAAAAAAACATGCTAAATGGTGCTTTTCTTTGAAAATCAAAAAATGCACAAAGTGTTCTGTAATGGGTAGGTGTGTTTTCTGTGTGTGCATACGCTCACAGAAAAGTTTTGCTCAAGTAAGTGTAACCCCCC